GTAAAGTACCTTAATAATTTTTTAAAGATTTTATTTATTTGAGAGAGAGAGTATGTGCATGCATGCAAGCAGGGGGAAGGGCAGAGGGAGAAACAGACTCCCCACTGAGCAGGGAGCCTGACGCAGGACTCAATCCCGGGACTCGGGGATCATGACTTGAGCTGAAGGCAACCTCTTAACTGACTGAGCCACCCAGGCGCCCTTAATAATTTGTTTAAAGAAGAAATTTCAGTCATTTCCCACTACAAGACACTGACCCAATAATTTATTGATACTTTTTTAAAGATTTTACTTATTCATTTATTTGTTTAATGGGGGGAGGGTGGAAAGGAGCAGAGGGAGAAGGGACAAGCAGACTCTGTGAGCTGAGCTTGGAACTCCACATGGGGCTCAATCTCATGACCCTGAGATCATGACCTGAACTGAAATCAAGAGTCAGATGCTTAACCGACTAAGCCACCCAGGCACCCCTATTCTGATACTTTTATGATTTCCTTTGCCATATTTAAATCTTTTTTTTTCTCCAAGATTTTATCCATTTATTTGAGAAAGAGATAGAGCAAGTGGGGAGAGGGGCAGAGGAAAAGGGAGAGAGAGAATCTTAATCAGACTCCATACCAAGCAGAGCCCAGTACAGGGCTTGATCGCACAATCCTGAGACCATGACCTGAGCCAAAACAAAGAGTCGAACACTTAAGAGACAGCCACCTAGGCACCCCAGCCATATTTAAATCTTTAATTCACCTGGAAGTCATTTTAATATATGGTGTGACGTAGAGGTCGCCAAACAGCCAGTTGTCCAAGGTATTTTTAGATATTTCCCCCATTTAAAATATAGCATTGTCTCCTAACTTTATCATTTAACAAATTCTTAAATATGCTTTGATTTCTACCTAGACTGCTTACTATGTTCTATAATTTATCTGTTCTTGTGCCAACGCTACACTGTTTTAAAATACGTACCTTTCTCATATACTTTAACGCACAACTCTAAGTATGTACATCTTCAAAATTTCTGACTCATTTATTCTCAATAATCAATTCCCCCAGATGAACTTCATAATCACTTTCCTATACCAATAAAGTTCTGAGTGCCTGATTCATATATCAGATAAATTCACAGCTTAAACCGAGATGAGCTGACATTATTTATAACATATTACCTTACCATCCAGAGATACATGGTATGGTGGGCTATTTGCGGTCTTTTACACCTCTCCCCCATAGTTTTAGTTCTCAATTTATTAATCCCAGGAGCTCTTTATATGAAAACATTATTAACTCTTTGGCTGTCAAATATGTTGCAAGAATTTTTTTTTCAATTTGTTAACAAAGATTATCAGAATATTAGTTGAGGCATTATATAGCTATACAACAGAAATATATGCAGAAAAGGAAAAAATTAACTCTAAAGTCAGGCATTAACTTGTATGGTTTTCAGCATAAGACTTACAATTATAATAAAAACCAAAATTGTTAAGGTTAAGCCTGAAAATAATAAATAGAACACATTACGGAAACACTTCACCTAGCCAAAACTTAACTCTATGGCCAATTTTGTAATCGGAATAGGACACAAAATAGACCGTTCAGCAGTTTGAAAGATTCATAAACTTCATTCTTTAAAAAACCCAGCCCTTCACTCTATTTGCGTTCACTTGGTATACAATTTTACAATTCCTTCTATTTATCTTTCCGTTTCTTAAACCTAAATGATTGAGCAACCTTGGTTAAAAGCTATTCAGATTCAAAGACATTATTTTTTAACATATGGATTTTTACTGAACCATCTATACTACCTGTCATTTTTTTAAATTTTATTTTTTCCACCTGAATTAAAAAAAAAAAAGATTTATTTATTTGAGAGCCAGAGAGACAGCGCATTGGGGGGAGAGGGGCAGAGGGAGAGGGAAAGAGAATCCCAAGCAGACTCCCTGTGACCACAGAGCCCGATGCCCAGCTGGATCTCACCACCTTGAGATCATGACCTGAGTCGAAATCAAGAGTTGGACACTTAACCGACTGAGCCACCCAGGCGCTCCCCACCTGTCATTTTTTAAAACACATTTTTAGTGAACTTCCCTTCCCATAAACATCAGCAGCCGTTTCCAACTTCAGTTTAGTCTTCCTACATAGAAGCCACCACTCTTATCCCTACTCTCAGCAGATGACCTTACCGTTCACAACAACCATTCTTTGCAAACTTAACTATGCTGATACTTTATGTCCCCAACTCCTTCCATCTTATCTTAGAGAAACAAGTATTCTTTCCCCAACTTCAATTCTTTCCCCAACCAATACCTTAATTTATGCATGGTGAAGGAAGAGGCAAGACTCATTAATTAATGCTCCTGTTCAGGGACTCTGCTTCATAATTCATTTCCCACCTCACTTGTACAATTAAACTCTCATTCCATTTTGGTTTCTGCCATTCAGCCAATAAATATATTCTAATGTCTTCCATTCTTTAAAAAAAAAAAAAAAATCCCTTTACATTTTACCCTTTCTATATATCAACACCTCTCTCCTTTCCCTTCTTAGGGAGCAGTCAGCATGCCTACTTCACCTCCCATTCATTCCATAATCCCATCTCCTAAAGCTTTATGACTGTGCCTTGCCTGAAGCTACTCACAAAAAAATTAACACAGTGACACTGGACTACAACATTCAAGAGGAATGGGGTATTTTTTGATTCCACAAATATTATAATTTTGTCTGTGACTATGCCTACTGATGGAAGTTGGGACTGCTGAAGGAATCTGATAATGACTTTCTCCTTGGTTCTAACTTGGATAAAATTGGAAACTTGTAAGCAGCCTCTTAAAATGTTCACAAATTGGGCAGGGGATGAGTATCTTATAATCATATGCATTAAAATGCTTAAAAAGTTTTTATATTTATGTACTGATACCATGTTTTAAAGTAAGAAAAGTTCCTTCTTCTATTTCCATCAAAGATTCAAGTCCAGGAATTAGTTCTATAAATGTCTTTTATCAATTACCTCAAAATGCAAAATCTTCTCAAGCAAGAAAGCAAGGAACACAGGAACTAAATACTAAGTATTAGACTTGACTGAATTACTTAACTTTATCACCTTTAACATAGGGTTATGCCTTACTCTATAATTTAATTGTGAGAATTAAACAAGACAACACGTGTAAAAGCACTTAACACAGTTCCCGGCACATGTTAAATACCTTCCTTCATTCACTTCAGCACAATGCCACACTCTAAACAAAGAACTATTTAGAAGTGTACCAAAAAGAAGCAATATTAAAACTTTGTGGAAAAAAAAACAAAACAAAACTTCGTGAACTACGTGAAACAGAAAATGTGGCAAAAGCACTATCTGTTCATACTAGTAATAATAATCTGCAAATGAAAAGCTTCAATTAGGAGCCAAAGTGACTAGAAGATGGTCAAGTATACTCTGAGAGAATTCAAGCAGTAACTGTACTTTGCCTGAATTTCCAATTATTTCCTCTTAGGAGTGTAAAAGATTACATAAGATTTAATATAATGGACAGAGTAAGCATACACACAAAGCTGTAGTTTCCCAGGCTGAGAAAGACAAATTTAAACTCACCCTACCTTGGGAGGAATGAATCTTAAATATACAAAATTTCCTTAGATACATACAAAAGTAAATCAATTTATCAAAGGGATTTGGGATGAAGGGAGGTTTTCACTACCCCAGGGCCAAATAAACTGAATAACCAAAATAAATCTTCTCCAAATATTATGGGGGGGGAAAAACCATTTGAATTGTTAGAATTGGTGTAATGCAGCTGGATTTAGTAGAATGTAGCAAGTCAGCTGCTTTCTGAAAAAATATGCTGGGGTGGAGAAAGTGGGCAATCTTCCCAATAAAACAACTGCCATAAAACACCATATATATATATATAAGAACATACACATCTGTTAAATATCACTTTACACTGTGTTCTAGCCAAGTTATTAATCAAGAGGAAGTATTTAAGATCTAAAAAATAAATCATACTCCACTTCTGGTCACATTTTGCACGGGTGGCTACTGGAGAGTACTGGAGAGTTATCCACGCAGATTCCAGGCAATGAGGACTGAATAATAAGTCCACTGTTCACATTCAAATGTGGGGGGGGGGCGGAGAGGAAAAGGGAGGCTCCGAGACCATAAAGTTCTCCTCCCTCTCCAAACACTGCAAAAAACTGTCCACGTCTAAGACACTTACCCTTGAAACTCCTTGGAGAGTGACCTGGGAGACTTTTTGTTCAGATTTCTGAGAGGGAGCTATTTAGGAATGCTGCAAAATTGCAACTTCCAAATACATGAACATAAAGCATTTTTTTTCTTTCAGGAAAGATTTCCCCCTTTCCTCTCAAATGGTTTATCACTACTCACATATTAACAAAATCCCCAATTCAACCCCAAGTATAAACAAAAACCAAAGCTTTAAAGAACATGTGAATAAAGCACACAACTATTTCCAGTAAATCCTCAATTCCCTCACGATTAGGATGAGGAAGGAGAAACGAAGAACACGAAGCAGAAAAAAATACTTGGGAAGAGAGGCGGCAAGAGAAAGTAGGAAGGGGGAATAAGAGCAGATCAAAAAGTTCAGCTAATGCTGACACTTAACCTGGGTAAGAAAGGGCAGAAAATACCCTGAAGGCAAAGGCTAGAAGTTGAAGGACTGAGTGGGACAGGGGCGCAATAGAGGAAGTCCACGCAAAAGGCCTACCCAAGGTGGGGGGGCACCGTGTAGGAGGGAACACCAAAAAACGGGGAGAGACTCATTAGGAAGAGATGCCAATCAAGGCCCAAGAGCTTGAAAGTCAGAGGATATGGAGACAGGGTACTCCTATACTGCAACCCGGAGACCGCACCAGATGTCTCGGGAGGCGATCCTGCTACGAGGGGTGAGGGGTTAACTGCGGGGGTTCGCAGACGTGGAAGGGGGTGCGGCCCCAGGGGTTGCGGCAGGGGAGCGGGGAGCAGGGAGCAGGCCCACCGCCCGTACCTTGTAGTAAACATCGAACTGGATGTTCTCCGGCAAGGAGCGGATGTCTCGGCGGGAGCGGATGTAGTTGTCCACGACAGCGGAGATGGCGGTGTTATACAGAGTCTCTGGGATCCACTCTAGTTCCACGGCCGCCATCTTCCTTCCCTCCTCCTCCGCCTCCTCCGCCTCCTCCTCCCGAAGGCCCCCGCCTCCCTCCGTAGCGAACTCCTCTGCGGCCCCGAAGGATTCGGACGGGCGGCGGCAGCCACGCGGCCACAGGGCAGAAGCGCACGGCCGCCCTGGCTCCTCCCGGGCGAGCTGTAGGGTAGCAGCGGCGCACGCAGGCCCGGGTAAACAGCGCGGCACGGAGCCAGAGACAGCCAAGCCCAGGCCTCACATTCCGGGTTTGAGAGAAACCCGGGTTCCGTCCCAGCGCGGAGCTCTGCAGGGGCGGGGCTGCGTGTGCGGCGTCATGACGTCAGCGCACGCCGACGCGCGGGAGGGAAGGAATGCGGCAGGCGGAAAACTTGGGAAGAAAAGAGCCGTGATTCTTCCCACAGAGAACGTACTTTCTGAGGGGCCCGGAGTTGGTGGATGGAGGTGGGCTTTTTACACTGGACGAGTAACCCTCTCCCGTGCCGAATTACGCGGGCGCGTCAGTGCCTTCAGCAAATCCTGCCTCGAGAGTTCTTAGGCATGGACCTTATTGAGGCTCAGGTAAAAGTTTGGATCCTTTTCCTCACAAAAATGCACATTATCAGTACATTGAAAATCATGCATTCAGGGATCTCACATGGGTCTAGACACTCTTAGACTCCGGTCCCTAAGCCAAGTTAGGAACCTTCGGTCCAGGAACTAAGGGTCATCATGGGTCATTGTATAACCATTTGCATTGTTTGAACTTTTTTACCATATTTCTTTTTTCCAAAGAAAATTTACAAACAAACAAACAAAAATAAGAAAAGAACTCCTGTAGAAGAATTTGGTAGGAAGGTTAGCCTGATTATGGAATTACAAATAGTGGTGAGAAGAAAGGGGTTAATTGCTGGCTTGTGTCAGGACTTAATGGTAAGATGGAAATGAAGATTTCAATTTTCTCTCATAGTTCTAGTCCCAACCTCAGGGGATTATTGAGTAATTGAGAGTACTTGTTTCAGCTCCCTTCCTTAGTCAGCCTGAACATCTGCTATTTATGTAACTTAACTTTCCAAGTGGGCCATCTCAAGAACTTTGGGCAATATCTTTCTGCTCTAGGAATTTAACAAGGAAGTTACTGGCCATAATTAATGGCACTGTGTCATCACTGTCTCATAGTCACTCTGTAACAAAGTAAAACCCAAAGACAATAATGATAATATGTCCTGACATTTAGAGCTAAAGGAATTGGAATTGGTTCTTCCAGTTCACCCTGGTATTTCTGTGTTCAATGGATAAATAATTTGGTAAAAAAAGAAATACACTTAAGGGTGCCTGGGTGGCTCAGTCGGTTAAGTGTCTGCCTTCAGCTCAGGTTATGATCCCAGGGTCCTGGGATTGAACCCCATATCAGGCTCCCTGCTCAGCAGGGAGCCTGCTTCTCCCTCTGCCTCTCCCCCTGCTTGTGCTCTCTCTGTCAAATAATAAGATCTTAAAAAAAAAAAAAGAAATACACTTAGTTCTTTTCTCAGTCTGTACCAGTTCTATAATCCATGAACCTAAGACAGATGTGGTTGGCCTTAAGGGTTGCAGACTTACTAAGTAAAAAAACAAAAAACAAACAAAAAAACCCACAAATGCCCAGTTACATTTTAATTTCAGATAAACAATGAATAGTTTTTCATATAAGTATGTTGCATGCAGTAGTTTTACATACCCATTTCAAGTCGTTCAAACACATCAGTTCCTTCAGCAAATTCTGCATCAGGAGTTCTTAGGTCTTTTGACGCTGTTTGGACCTCTTTCCACAAATATGTATAATTATCCATACATTATCCATGCAAATACTGCATGGAACATACTTATACTAAAAAATTATTCATTGTTTATCTGAAATTCACATTTAACTGGGCATTGTGTTTTATCCAGCAACCCTACCTCAAGGGATCCATGAATACCCTGAAATTGAATGCAGATGTTCTAGGACATTTTGGCTGAATCAGGACCTGGGCTCAGTTCCTATAAACAGGTTAAGCTGTGTCAGACACACTTACTGATTGCTATATGGACCTTAGATGCTGTTGGGCAGAGTTAGACACCCAAAAATGTATATAGACGGGTTTCTATGGACAAAGGGGCCTTTTAATCCCTTCTTCATTGTTTTGAGATTGAAAGTTATTAAAATGTGCGTGATGGTCTGGGAGGCCCTGACCAAGGGCATACAGATTACCTGAAAGGACAGGACCCCTGAGAATTAAATGTTGGAGGAGTCAGGGCCCCTAAGAATTAAATGTTGGAAGACTCAGGACCAACAGCTGGCATCAGTACAAAGGACTAAGCATCGAAGGGGAGCATTACTCCAGAACTAGAACCTGCAGGTTTGGGCCATCAAGAACTGGCTTACCAAAGAAACCAGTGGCAACTAGGCCATTTTTGTTGTACACTACCATCAACTGAGGGAAGAAAGGTTCTCCATTGAGCTCTAGGAAATTAATGAGTCCCAACAGAACTGGGATTTGAACTTAGTAATTATATAAACACTGTCTTTCCATATTTTGTACAATAACATAGCATCTGACTTTTCAGTGGTCGGGTCAGATCATAAAGGGGCTTATATCCCCATCAAAACACCATCCACTTTTTTCAAAGAAATGGAACAAATCATCCTAAAATTTGTATGGAACCAGAAAAGACCCCGCATAGCCAGAGGAATGTTGAAAAAGAAA